TTTCGATAAAATTCTTATTAATCATCATTTCTCTAGAAAATTTATAAATATATTTTTGAATATTTCATTACAAATTTATTGTTAACGCTTAAGGAATTTTTTAATACTTTAAAAATGTTCAGGATGAAAATAAATATTGCACTTTGCACTATGTTAAGTGTATAAAATTATAAATTATGCAAAAAAAAATAACTAAAACATGATAAAAAATAAGATATTCCAGGTATAAATAAAAAAAAATTGGCATTGGATTGGAGACAGGAATAAATAATTTTCACGATTTTTAATGAAGTGTCGCCGCGGTCGAGAGAGAAAAATATTTATATAATAATAACAAGGTTAAAAATATTTTCAAAACACGTATAAATACAAATTTATGTATGTATATAAATATAAGTGCGTGTATTCAGATTATTAAATGATTGACCGTCAACAGTTGCTAACTTAACTCAATATTTATAAACGTAAAAGAGTAATGATGGCAAAGAAGGAAAACATGTGCATTAATTTATTTACCAAGTTGTTCTCGAGCAATTAATGGTCCGCCTCGTCCTTCGTAACAAAAATTCTATAAATATTGGTGGGCGTTATACATATTACAAAAATATATTGCTTCATTGAGACACACTGTGCATGTCCACACTCACATAACTATTACAACAATCTATATTTAGAGAAAACTTGGATTTCCTTTAAGTTTTGTAATCAAAAGTATAAATATTGAATCAATCAATGTTAGTGAATTGCGTTATATAAACAGTTTCGTAATGAAATCATGAGAATAAGATTAATCGAAGCTTATTGTGTAAGGAAAACGTAGTTTTTTTATACTTAACTTAGTGCAAAGTGCAATATTTATTTTCATCCTGAATAGTTTTAGCGTTATAAATTTTCTATAGAAATGATAAGTTTATTTTAAATATTCATAATATTATCTAATGTAAGAATTATCAATAATAATAAATTTGTTGTATAACAAAAAAACATTGAAAATAATTGTAATTATCTTATTTTATCTTCAATGCAAATATATTCTGTAATTGTATTAAATTATGTAAGTGGTAGAATCATCGATTTTGTCTTTTTCCTTATAGTTTTCTAGAGAATTTATTGAAATTTATTATTTTCCTACATCGCCAAGTCGTCGTTTTTATCGCTTTTCCTCGACTCATATATTATAATAAAGTCAAGAGTTGTGGAATTTGCAAGAATGCTGCTGAGATCATAGCTAATAAAGAGCGGGTCTTTGACACCGGACACCATCTGCCATCTCACGGACAAAATTACAATCTGACATTCATTAATATTTGACACATGGAATGATTATATGGCAAAGTTCAAAGGTTGTGGTTTTAATTGCATTATTGAACAATATTTGCAAAAAAAATAAACTCATGCACCAAATTATATGAAAATTAAATAAAAATGTTAAGATTTCATGTTAAAATAAATGTATTACGTCTCATGAACGAATTTTCTATTAACAAATTACAATTTGACATTTATTAATATTTGACACATCGAATATTTATATGTCAAAGTTCAAAGGTTGTGGTTTTAATTGTATTATTAAACAATATTTCCAAAAAAAAACTGATGTACCAAATATATGAAAATTAAATAAAAATGTTAAGATTTCATAAAATTATGTAATAGATATCAAAAAAACAAAATCATGTGAATTTAAATGTATTACGTCTCATGAACGAATTTTCTATTAACAAATTACAATCTGACATTTATTAATATTTGACACATAGAATATTTATATGTTAAAGTTCAAAGGTTGTAGTTTTAATTGTATTATTAAACAACATTTGCATGTGTTGAAGATATAAATAAAATGAAGGCATTACAGATACACAAAATTATATTAAAAATAAATGAAAATATCAAGGTTGCATGAAATTATTTAATTGATATTTAAACAAATACAAAATCATGTGAATTTCAATTGTTTATTCAAAATCTGTCATATCATGAACGAATTTTCTATTAACAAATTACAATCTGATATTTATTCATATTTGACACATGGAATATTTATATGTCAAAGTTCAAAGGTTGTGGTTTTAATTGTATTATTGAACAACATGTGCATGTGTTGAAGATACAAATAAAATGAAGGCATTACAAATACACAAAATTATAGTAAAAATAAATAAAAATGTCAAGTTTTCATGAAATTATATAATAGATGTTAAAATAAAAACAAAATTATGTGAATTTCAATTGTTTATTTACAATATACCATCTCCTGAACGAATTTTCTATTAACAAATTACAATCTGACATTTATTAATATTTGACACATCCAGTATGTATATGTCAAAGGTTGTGGTTTTAATTGTATTATTGAATAACATTTGCATGTGTTGATGTGTTAAAAATAAAATGAAGGCATTACAGATACACCAAATTAAATTAAAAATAAATAAAAATGTCAAGTTTTCATGAAATTATTTAATAGATATTAAAACAAATACAAAATCATGTGAATTTCAATTGTTTATTCAAAATCTGTCATCTCATGAACGAATTTTCTATTAACAAATTACAATCTGATATTTATTCATATTTGACACATTGAATATTTATATGTCAAAGTTTGTAGTTTTAATTGTATTATTGAACAACATTTGCATGCGCTGAAGATATAAATAAAATGAAGGCATTACAGATACATCGATTTATATTAAAAATAAATGAAAATGTCATGAAATTATTTAATAGATGTTAAAACAAATACAAAATCATGTGAATTTCGATTGTTTATTCAAAATCTGTCATATCATGGACAAATTTTCTATTAACAAATTACAATCTGATATTTATTCATATTTGACACACCGAATATTTATATGTGAAAGTTCAAAGGTTGTGGTTTTAATTGTATTTTTGAACAACATTTACATGTGTTGAAGGCGTTACAGATACACCGAATTATATTAAAAATAACTAAAAATGCCAAGATTTCATGAAATTATTTAATAGATGTTAAAATAAAAACAAAATCATTTCAAATTGTTTATTCAAAATCTCTCATATCATGGACAAATTTTCAATTAACAAATTACAATCTGACATTTCTTTATATTTGACATATCGAATATTTATATGTCAAAGTTATATAAAATATTTCTTTAATTAACGTTAATTAAGTTGTGGTTTTAATTGTATTAATGAAAAATATATTCATGTGTTACAAATATTTATAAAAATTACTGATACATTAGACTATATTAAAATTATAGTGATTATATTTGAATAAAACAGCAATAATAATTGAAGTTAAAACGATAACAAGATCAGGTGATTTTTAATTATTTATTCATAATCTGTCATATCATGGACGTTTTGTTTATTAACAATGACAATTAATACGTCACATATTTTATTTAATTAATAATATGTTAAGGTTTAGTAGTTTTAACTGTATTAAGACAAAATATGTGCATGTGTTAAATATATAAAAAGTTGAAAAAAAACTTAATACAAAAACTTTCAATACAGATTTTAAAGCCTTTAAAGAAAAAAAAAATTCTTAACCTTGAGTCATATAAATGTTGTGTTATTGGTGTGATGCATAAATGATAAATAGAGGAATAATATAAATATTAAATGTCTTCATCGATCCAATAATTGGTTATCGACCTACATGATTCCGTAATGAAGTTAATCTTTAAAACATGCCGCATTGAATTTCATATTTGCCGCGACATTTTCCAGCCCGCTTAAATAATGCAATGAAGAAAATGCAGCGAAGTGTAAATGAATCAATATACATTTGCACAAAAAGAAAGCAGTTCCATCTGTGAGATGCTGATGCAATTACCAGAAGTTATTATACGGATGCCTTTGAGCATCGATGCTACTACCTATACAATTTCCTGGAACAGCTCTAACCTAACCTACCTAGGACTCAGGTAGTTTGCAAATTCAATAAGAGACTTCGTGCTGAATGAATTTCTAAGCTACGGATGTAAATCCAATTAAGCGGACTTTAATTTAATAGGCAATAAAATAAATACGCATCTCTCTATTTCTGTATTTCCCTTTGAATCTTTCCTCTTTCAGTCATTCTCTTTCACTCACAGACGGTGGTGGTCCAATGAATAAATTAATGATGCATTCATTGGAGAGAAAACGGTGATAAATCGATCTGAACTGCAGTTGAATGATCATCATCATCATCGTCTCTCGTTTTTCAAACTCTTTCCAATAATAATGAGTTTATTTATTCGGTTAACATAAATTGAAATTTCAAATAAAATCTGCTTTTAACTCTCACGTGCTTGGAACGTGTGTGTGTATGTGCAGCGTCGTTTCATAAGGAATTCTACGCATTCAATTAATATCGCCATTATTAAATCGAAAATTAATTGGAAAATGTAATTTATTGCATACTTCTCGCTCGCAGTAACCGTACCTTTCGTGCTGCATTCTGTTTTTTTTTTACTCACCTCTTAGCAAATAAATCAGATTCTTTAGAGATATTGAGTTGTTTTATATCAATGTTCGCAGAAGCGAGCAGAAAGATTTATTGATTTAAAGACGTTACATCTTTCAATTCAGATACTTTATTTCATAATTGAATATATAGATTTATAAACAATATTATGCAATATTAATAGTATTTTTTTATTGCAATATCGACATAAAAAATACATTAACACATAGAAATGATTGATTTTACCAATATATCGTACTGTTTGAAGCAGGACTAATCGAGGACTTTAATAGGAAAGAAAATACGATTGTTTTTCTATAAAAAAAAAGTACTATTTTTGTATTTTTCTGAATTAAAACTTAATTTGTTTTAAAAAAAATACTATAATTAATCCGTACTAATCGAAGCCGGATTATGTAAGGTATTGTTGAATTAAGGAGGAAATACATACAATTCAGGGATTTGCATTTAGAGTTTACATTTTTTTTCATTATTTTAATTATTAATTAATAATTTGTTCATGATCACTAATCATTTGTTTTAATTTCAGGTATTGGAAGTTCGAGAAAGATGGCGTTCGAAGTTCGGATTTGAAACAATGTTGCTAATTTTTAATATGTAAGTACTAATTAATAAGTACTATTATTAATTAAACTCATGCTGATGCAATTACTAGAAGTAATTTATTATAACGTACTTTTGAGCGGCATCGTAACTAAGGCGTTGTCAGAGAGGCGCGTGACACGGGCGCACTTCTATTAGGGGCGCAAAATTTGACTTTATATTCACCTTTTTTTTGGGCTAGAAGGGCGCAAGTTAATAACATTCCATACTTACTTTAGTTAGTGGTCTACATTTGAAATAATTATTAGAAGTAATTTAATATAATGTACTTTTGAGCAGCATCGTAACTAAGGCGTGGTCAGAGAGGCGCGTGACACGGGCGCGCTTATATTATGGGCGCAAAATTTGACTTTATATTCATATATTTTTTTGGTTTAGAAGGGCGCAAGTTCATAACTTTCCATACTTACCTTAGTTAGTGGTCTATATTTTAAATAATTATTAGAAGTAATTTAATATAACGTACTTTTGAGCAGCACCGTAACTAAGGCGTGGTCAGAGAGGCGCGTGACACGGGCGCGCTTATATTAGGGGCGCAAATTTTGACTTTATATTCATCTTTTTATGGGCTAGTGGGTTAATGGTCTACATTTGAAATAATTTTATTTATGGAATTGCGCAATTAGACCTTTGATGATTACAAAGAAAATACATTAAGTCTGTTTATAACTCGTATATCTGATGTATTTATTATTTTCTTAAATTAAAACAAAATACAATTATTTCTTATTTTGTATCGACTATCTTAAGATTAAAAATTTACTTATTTGTCAAGTAGAGTGTAAACCCAATCTAACCAATTCGAGCCTACCTATTGGATCCTATCTGAAGTTAAAATAACCTATACGAATCTATCGAATCTTATTCGAAGCTAACCTAACGTATCCGAACCTATCTAATCCTATCCGAAGATAACCTAACGTATCCGAACCTATCGGATCCTATCCGAAGCTTATCTAACCTATCCGAACTTATCGAATCCTATACAAAGCTAACCTAACCTATCCGAACCTATCTAATCCTATCCGAAGATAACCTAACGTAACCTATCTAATCCTATCCGAAGATAACCTAACCTATCCGAACCTATCGAATACTATCCAAAGCTAATCTAACCTATCGAATACTATCCAGAGCAAATCTAATCGAACCTATCAAATCCTATCTGAAGCTATCCTAACCTATCAAATTCTATCCCAAGATAACCTCAACTATCCTAACCTATCGAATAGTATCCGAAGCTAATCTAACCTATCCGAACCTATCGAAGCCTATCCGAAGCTAACCTAGTTTTACCTAACCTGTAATTCGTGTTCAAAAATGAAAATACGGAAAATGAGCACTCGAAAAAGCAGTGTCTTCACATTTTAGTGATTTTTTCAGAAACTATAATTAATAGAATGGATCCAAAAATTCATATGATAGTTAAATAGTTGGGGAATGCAACGTATATCTAAATATAACTGTCACAACATAGTAATATTTATTACCATCACCATAAAATTAAAAAAAAAAAAACATAAAATTAGCAAAAGACCTTAATATTTATAAATTTAAAAAAAAAAATCCACAATATAAATATATTTTTTTTTTTGTAAATTATAAAAAAATATCAAAAAATTTAATTAATTTGTTATAAATTTTAACTAGTTAATAACACATATTAAAAAATACATCAAAGATATTTTTATGTTTTATAAAGTTATGTTAATTTCAAAATTTGGAACAGAAATTGCATAAAATATTTAAATTTTTATTACCGTCAATAAATACCCATGTTTTTATGAAACATTTTATGTCTTTAATTTGTAAATTTATCATGAAAATAAATAAAACGTGATTGCGGTTTACAAAAAAATGAGTTTACTTGTTTGCATTACAGAACGATTTTCATAATCTTAACATTATATATTTTCCTAAAAGAAAAAGAAAAAAATGAGAAATCTCATTTCCGTGTTTATTTTTCATCAGAAAGTCGGTTAGGATTAACGCAACTTCCTCTTATACCCACTCAAGTCCTCAAGGCAAATTGAATTTCGGTACTATTAAAACATAACGAAGGAGATGCATAATATATCGTTACAGCACGATGGAAACGCAGAACTTAGTTTAACCAACATTTCATCCGCTATTAATTAGTGTACGGATTTGCATCCGCCGGAGCATGGATTTACCATCCACAAATTTGTCTTCCTAAATCCAGCAATCAATTAGTCACTGAAAACAAAACTAGAGCAAATTCAATTTCGCCTTATTTATTTACTACAAAAAAAAACAAGATGGAAATATGACTTTTACACAAGTTTTACAAAATTATTTCATTGAATTTGATAATTTTTGATCTTAATATCAACAAAATACCAAACAATTAACTAATTAATTATGTTTTTTCATAATTTTGTTATTTCTTACAAAAAAAATATAAGAAGTTCTAAAGTTTATTTTTCACTCGTAAAATTACATTAATTGATTGATATTTTTTTTGTATCACTTACAATAAAAGTCTTACAAATCTTTAGTTTAAACTATTATGTAATGCAAAGTTATAACGTTTATAGAAATAGATAATTTTGTGTTTATTTACTAAACAAATATAATTTTATTTGTATTTTTTACACATTTATATAAATTCTTTCAAAAAAAAGAAACAATTTGAAAATATTGTCATTATTTACGAAAAATAAGCCGTTTTTGTACAGGAGAGGAAATTTTACATAGGGATCACCGGTCGAGTCATGGTACTGTGGGATTCTTACCGCACTAAAACCTCTTCCTAAATATTTATACATTTCATAATTTTTCTGAATAAATCTTAAATTTCCAGGAAATCAATGAAACACAAAACATGATTTTACATAATTTTGATCGAATTTGATAATTTTTTTATTTTAAATTTATTAATCTCAATAAAATACTTAACAATTAATTAATTAATTAATTCTTTCGATAATTTTGTTATTTGTTACAAAAATTAAATAAGTATAAGTTTTATTTTCACTTGTATTTATATAAATCTTTTTTTGAAATTGTAAAATTACATTAGTTGAACTACAATTATTACTTGTAATAAAAGTCTTACAAATCTTTATTCTTAACAATTAAATAATGCAAATTTATAACATTTATTAATAATGTTGTTATTAGTTACGAAAAATAAGTCTACTTAAAACATTTACACATTTCAATAATAATATTCAGAGTTTCTGTCAGAGACTTTAACCGAAATTAATTTCGGTCCGGTTTACGGTTACATTTCAAGTAAATGTTTATCGTTCCACATTCGGTTTCGGTTTGTCCGGTTGAAATTAAAATCGAAAAGAAGCAATTTAAATTGTTTAGTTAAATTTAAAATCGAGTCCAATATCAAATTTTGATTTAATTTTATTTACCAAATTCCATTCTTACTATTGTTTTCAATTATAAAATTGCAAATACAAAAGAAATAAAAATTAGTTAGTCACTAGTTCAACACATGCACATGTTTCTTCAGTCATGTTTACAGTAATATCCTTTTTTAGTCACTTTAATTTGAGTTTGTTCTAATGTTAGTTGTACTTGCCCTTTCTTCTTCAAATTTTCTCTTTTTAGTTTTTGGTTGATTGGTGAAGCTTTATTTATATTGATGATAAAGCCTTCCCTTGGAATTCGGACTTGATGATTTTGTTTATTTGAAAAAAGAATTCGGAGTATTCAAAGAGACTTCATTGATGTTTCTTATACATTGTTTATACAAGTTTCACATTAAAATTTCGTTACGGTTTCGGTTTTTCAATTAAGCAATTTTTCGTTCCGGTTAATTTCGGTTTACGGTTGTCGGTTCCGGTTAGACTCTCTAGTTTCTGTAAATAAATCTTAAATTTCCCGGTAAATCAATGAAACACGAAACTATAAGTTATTAATTATTAATCGAAAAGCATAGCATATCAACAACATAGAATTGACCCATTAAGTTCGACATTCGATTGCGGCGTAACCGATTGTATTTACAATGTCATTACTGTTCGTCGTTTATAAATAGTGTTCGATAGATAAGGACCTTGTGACCTCGAGAGTGACGACAATTAAGTTCAGTACGAACTACAAAAACGAATTAGGAACTGTATAAATATTAATTATGCAATTCTAATGAAATTTCCTCATTGTTAAATGCATATATTATTAGAATTTACACAAGGTTAAAGCACATACAAAAAAATGGTATAGAATGAAATGGATGTGAATATAATTCGTGTTCTCTGTGTCTCTCGGTGCTTGTTTTTTTAATTAAAATTGACGTAAAAGGGATGGTCATGAACATACGAAAAAAAAAACAAATGAACATACGAAGAAAAAAAAAGTAAATGGACAGAAATGTTATATGCTTACAAATGACACATTTTAATTAAAAAATAAATAAATGAAGGATAATATTTATGCTTCAGGTTTGTAAAGTTTTTTTTGTTGTTGATGTTTTCATATATTTTCCGGTGCGTTGCCTAATGTAATCAACGATGTTCGAGGAATTAATTGAATTTATTTATACAAAATCCCAATTTCAATTTTTTTTTTATTAGTTGAAAATGAACTTTTTTTTCATAACTGACGTATTTATTTAAATTTATTATTGTTTGTTCTTAATTACCTCAGTAATTTTATTGATTTGTCCAAATTCAACAAAAATTTGTAATTATTTTCATTTTATTTTAATCTTTACTCTCATTTACTTCAGAAATACTGAATTGTGAATCAAAATACAATTTCAACAAACGTGTTTTTCAATTTTTCAATCTTTGTTCTCATTTACTTCAATATTCTTCTCTTTGAGTTCATTATTTCTATTAATTTACACAAATTCAACAAACATATTTATTTTAATGTATTAATATTCATTTTCCAAAATAAAATTCACTCAATTTGTCTTTTTGTATTTTTCAATGAAACCGTTAATATTTATATTAAATACTAATATTTTCCTTTGATTTACAGTAAATATTCCAATAATTTAAAATAGAACA